TGGCTTACTCTTACTCTCACCACATGCTGCTCGCCTGTGGTAGCGGTGTTTCTTTGCCTTCCGCGAAACCTTCAATTGATCCTACCCTACCTCAAAAGCCTCGAAGGCGAGGCCGAGAGAGTTCATGATGATTTGTGATCAAGCTTCTGTTCCGCGAATCACAATTGGCCCTACTGGCATAGTGTACGAACAGCTATTCCACAGTCTAAAGGATCTACTACCGGTCATGTACCTATTCCAGGTTACCTGTCTACAGTGCTACATTGAGTGAGCAGGTACATGTAGGTACTGTACCTACCTACGTAGCTACATACTCTTCTACCTTCCTTCCTTCCACCTTCCTTCCCTCCTAGATCCTTCCTTCCTCACTTCGACCTTTCTCCAGATGATGTCGCGCTGGCCATTCACAACTTAATCCGCCTCGGGGAGCTTTCCCCGACAATCCCGGGGTGATGGGGATGCGACTTCTAAGTTCTCACCAAGTACCAGCGAAACTTCGACATTAGTTCTGGTTATTTCCCAGTGGCCATGGATCTATCCCGTATTGGGCCTACTTCACGATTGACAGCTGGCTCTTCGCCAACCACGAGGGCAGGCAGAAGGCAATTGCAGCCAAGCTAATGTAGGTACCTTTTTTACATGTTCTTCATTTATATGCAGTTAGGCCCTTTGGTCGTTTACTCTACTCTAAAGCACACTCTCCCTCTACCCACATCCCCCACTATCACTAGCAACTCTCCACACAAATAGCTCTTATGATTTGTACCTACATTAGCGGGGGGGACGAGGGGGGGCCGGGATGTGAAATTTAGCGGTCCAATTCACTCAGGGCCGGGGGCTAGCTAGCCAGCACCTCCAGCGAGTAGCGGTGTGGGAAAACCATGCCAGCCAGCCAGGCCAGATCTTTCGGGTTCCGAAACGAACAAGCTTGCTCCGCGAGAAATGATCCGCGACCTCCGATTTCTATCTAGAGAGTAGAAATCTACGGGGGGAGGAAGGCTAGAGGAAAAAGGTACACATGTGGCACATGCCACACACTTTGCTGCACATGTACACAAAAACCCCGGCCGGGCCTGCGTCGGGTTCCGATGGAGGGATGAGACCGGATTTGTTTTCCTTTGCCTCTGCCTTTTGGACCCTTTCATTTCAATTGTTGTGTAAATAGGAATAGACACTCTTTTCTTACTCTGGGTTTCTGCACACAAGCTCGCGATCGTACTACTGTAGAGTTTTGTACTATACGTAATTACTATGTAGGTAGAATTAAGAATACCTTACTCCGGGGAGAGGTGTACCGCCCAAAATAATAAAACTGTGTAACAGAGCGCTGTCATGGTTTTTTTCCTGTTATCGTATCATTTCTCATCTCGTGAAGTCATCGCGGATTCTTCCTTTTTCTTTTTGCACGATGCGCAGAATCGAATTAATGAGAGCGCTAACGGCACCGCACTGGATGGCTGGCTGGCTAACGCCACTGCAAATCAAACAGTTGCAGTAGAGGTAGAGAAAGAGTAATTACGGCTTCGTGCAGTGCAGTAAATAATATGCGGCGTTGCAATTGCAGTTGATTCATTCGCCCGCTCGCTCTGGCGCTCTGGCGCTCACGGCGCTCGCTCAACGTCGCGCCCGCGCGGCCGGATTAACTATGTATTGACCGATACATACTCCTTCTGTCTCTGTCTCTCTCTGCTCTGCTCTCCGTACCTACATGAACCAGCCGTAGGTACATACAGTACTCAATGTCTAATATGTAGTTCCAGGGTATCTCTCTAGCTAGCTCTGCAGGGTCCGCTGGCTGACCATTTTTCCGGTGGATCATCAGATATCACCCGGAATTAATCTCGCCGCCACCGCAAGATACTCCGAGCAGATGGATGTAGGTACGTCCAACTAAGGTACGGTACGGCTCTGGTAGAGTAGATAAGGTAGAGTACTTGTACTTAGGCATCATGTATGTAGAGTATGCATATATACTCATCCATAAGGTACCGTACCGTAGGTACATGTCCCTACATACCACCGCCCACCTCCGTAATCCAATGCTGGGCGGTACATCATGCAAGATTCCATCAACTGACAGGCGAAATCACCACACTTTACGGATCTAGATTTCGAACCCTTCCCTCCCTCCCTCCCTCCCTCCCTCCCCTCGTTGTTGGGTGGTGGCCATGGTGGGGTGGTGGGCGCGCTGCGATTGCAACGGGTGCTACTGCCTGGCGATGTGTGGTGGTGGAGGTGGAGTGGTGGTGCAAGTAAAACCTTCTTTTTTCTTCCCCAGGCTTTTTTTTCGTTTCGGTGGTTTTTCTAGAATATTTTACCCCCGACTGCCTACTGCAGTGCTATGTAAGGGTGAAGGAGTGGAGGGGGGAATTTTGGTTTTGGCCCCGCGTGGCCGGCGCTGCTTTAGTTACAGGTAGCGTTTTTGTTTGCATTTGCCTTTACCTTTGCCCGTTGCCTTTGCCCTTAGGCTCGAATTCGTATCTGGCGACTGGGCGGCCCCGGGTGCGGTGCAGTGCAATTGACGGTACGGGTACGGTGGAGAAAACCAGAGTTACAGTTGCGCCAGTTGGTTCGTTTCGTTAGCTAGAAAGTAAATCATCGCCAAAACCATTTTTTTTTCTCTCCACAAAAAAAATAAAAAAAAAATGAAAGTGAAAATTCAATGTTGACATTTCTACATGTGGATTTTTTTCTTTTCTGAATCCCCCACCACCACCATGATTATTATTTTTACCATTACCACTATTTTACCACCACCACCACCACCACCTACAGACTCCGATCCACAAGTTAACCACAGGTCTCAGTGTTGTCGTCGGAAAAATTTTGCCTCCCCCGGCCGCGCCGGGTCGGTGCGGCATTTTACGCGGATTTGCTTTTATCCTTTTTTTTTTTTTCGCGTTCACGATAGATATGGGGTAGGGTAGGTAGATTGATGGATGATAGATCACCCACACCACCCGCACGCGCCACCACCACCACCACGGTATGAGACGAGCGGAAAAACTTTACATGTAGATACTCTGGGAGTCTACTACAGATGTAGATGTGGATGCAGAAGGGTAATTAAACGGTACCGTTAAGATACAGACAATGAGATCGCCAATATTTCAATTCTCCCAGGCGCGGGTACGGGTGATATGTACGTACCTCTACCAGTGTGCGGTGGGAGATCGAGAGAGAAAAGGCAATTATGAATTGCGTGGATACAGGCGGGGTTTTCCCGGTTTACGTGAATTAAAAGTGTACATAGCTGTAGATAGATCTGCTGTGGGATGTATCGATGGATGTATCGAGTACTTTCAACGTCTATCAACATCACGCCTCGTGTAGAGAGAGGTACAACAGACATGAGAGACAGAAGAGGTACAGCTTTAGAAACCCCCGCAATACTCCCTCGTACTTCCCCTCAATCACTCCACCACTCAGCTTCCCCTCCACTCGTAACCATAACCTATCCTAACCCCCGCACATGGGGTACATCACAGCTATTTAGAATACAGTTGTGTCAGCAGAAACCCTCATAGTGGGTAGCTAACCCAGCCAACCAACCAGTCAACCAACACCAATTGCAACACCAAATCCCATTCACAAACAAACCGCGCCTGTGTGATAGTGGGGAGCGCAGCGCAGGTACTTTCACCTTCCTCCGGATCCTTCCTTCTATGTAGGTACCTACATACAGCAGTACCGACATCTCACCCGGAACAACCTCCCCACCGCCACCCCCAGAGCAGAACAGAACAGAGGGAAGGAAGAACCTCGACGAGTGGCAAGGTAACTTTTTACCGCCGCCCCTCGCGAAGCGCACAGGGCTCGCACTCTCTCTCGTGAGTGAGCGAGCGACGTCATGTCACTGCCTACAAGGTTCCGATTTGCCTATCGTGTTCTTGTTCGTCTCCCCGGATAACAGACAGGCCCCAACCCAGCCCAGCCTCCGGAAATTAGGAAAAAGGGAAAAGGGAAAAGGTAGGACGAACCGCACCCACCCCACCGGGTAACTTTCCCCCTCCAACCCTCTCCCCTGGTCGAGACGAAATTCGCACCTGAGGAGGGGGAGGGGGGAAACTCGGCCGGGGAAGTGAGAGCAGGATCAAAGCAGGCAAGTCATGCGCGGCGCGTGGGAGATTTCCTAGATTGAACATTTAATATTTTTAATATTTTATTTTAGTTGTTTATATATGTGTTATTTTATTATATGAATTTTTAACCCGTTTCTATATGTATTTTTTTCTATCGTGTTTTTTCCCATTTCCTTTCCAACAGAATAATTTACATGAAGATATGAGAATGATGAGGTTCATTAATATTTTTTGGAGCCCTCTCCTCGTCGTTTTACATTTAGCAGAAGACAGAAGAAGAAGAAGCGGGCGGGCGAGTTGAGTGCGCGCCGCCCTAGCTTCCCTTACTAAGTTTACTTTACTTTCCCTTTGGGGCCCCGGGGGGAACAAGCATCCCTTCCCCAAACACCTCATCCTCAAAATTACCCACCCCCGGGTAAACTCAAGCTTGTTATGATAGAACGAGAAGTGATAGAACAGAGATAGAGAAGAGAGAAAGATCGGATACATGAGACAGACTCAGAAAAGCGGAAAAATAGAAGACCAAGAACTAAAGACAAAAAAAGTTAAAAGAGAGAGGAAAAGGAAAAGGAGGAAAAGGAAAAGGAGAAAAAGGAAAGAAAAAAAAAGACCACTCGGAAAAATAAGGAACCCCCATAACTCCCCGTCAACGTGAACTAATTATTTTAGCGGTGATATTTGCTCCTCCCCCCTTCCCCGAATTTAACCCCACAAGCAGGAACAACTATCACCTCCACCTCCCCACCTCACTACGCCTAAAACTAAGACTAAACACCTTTTTTTATCCCAGACCAATAAAACATTAACCCGCTCTAGCCGCAATGCGTTGTCAAACAGTTCGAGTATTAAGCTTTGACGTTGCCGCTTCCGATTATCGCTCAATTCTTATTTTACTTATCTACGCAGGGCCGTGACGCTTCACCGTCCTGAGGACTGACCTGGGAATCCGGGATATTGGAAACCGTTTGGCATGTTCGGCGGCACAAAGTTCATGAAGGGTAGTCCGGCACCGAACCCTGGAGTTGGCGGGGCGACACCAATGTTATTATCACGACCTCCCCGCTGGTTGTTGTCGTTATAATCCGTGCGTCTGTTGCGTTGTTCACGGTGGGCTTCGACGAAAGTGTCATGGGAGGACCGTGGGCCTTTTGCCCCGCCAGAATCGGTCGGGAACCGCTTGCTGATGGCTGCGTTTGGAGATTTTGGTTAGTCTATGGATTGACAACAAACGATCTAAAGATAAAATGGGAGCTCATGATGCAGATGGGAAATGAGACAGGAATGGAGGAAGGAAGGGCTATTCTAGAAGCATAAGTTGGGAGCAAGAGGTTGGAAACAAACCTTTAGAGGATACACCCTGACCAATTTCGATATCTGGTTCTTCAACAACCATTCCACCGACCAATGGCTTTCCGCCAGTTCCTCCATATTCGGCTGAGACCATCCACCTTTGATCCGCGTCGGTCAGGCGGTCAATTGGGATGATACTGATTCCAGTTTGATAATCGCTGCAGTCTCGCGGTCCATACCCAACTCCCCATCGTGTCTGGAAAGAAACGTCGTCAGTATTGCGCGTAAGGGAAAGAGGAAACAGAAAGGAAACAAGGCTATGCGCATACCCTGATGGTCATATTATCAGCTCTATAGGTTTCCATGCCAGCCCTGGCTTTGACCGCATCATCGCGAGTGAGCATCTTGATGAAAGCATGGCGCTTGTCCTGGTTCACTATGCATGACTGGACCAATCCGTGCCTCTCAAAGAGCCCGCGAAGTTCATCCTCAGAGATGCTGTAGTAGTGACGACGTTAGCATATCGACAGCGAACAAAGGGAGGCTTAAAACTCACGTTACACCACCAACAAACAAGGTTCTGCTGAGAACTAGATGATTCATTGTATATTAGCACGTGATTTAGATTATTATTTTGAGAATATATCGCTATTAGCCTACCTTTAATGCTGTTTGACGCGATGCCTTCATCAAACTCCACGAGTTTGTTAAATTTAGGCAAAGTGGGTGTTGTACGATCACCGCCTTGGCTGCCCTTTCCGTTGAACCTGTTCCCATTGGGAGGGGTTCTGCTACGATCCCTACGACCGCGGGGGGATGCCCCTCTGCGCCCAAAACCGCCATTCCCACCACGTCCCCTTCCACGATTACGTTCGTTACCACCACCGTTACCACCTTCACGACCGTTGCGAGTATCGTTGCCTTCATATTCACCATATACAGGGCTACGACGTCTAAAGTTTGGCGGGGAGCGCCCTGCTCCTCCTCCAGCGCTGCCTCCACGATCGAAGCGAGCTGGGGACCTTGAACGGGATCTACCCCGACGGCCTTGGTAACGCGGGGGCGACATGGGCGGTGGAGAGTATCCGCGTTCATTACGACGAACATCGCGATTATATCCACCATCACGAGGAGGCTCAGACGCATTTTGCGGTACTTGAGGATTTATCATTTGCTGCAACTGCTGCATTTGTTGCTGCTGCCACATTGGCATAGCTTGGCCATTTTGACCATCTGCACCGCCAATAGCACCAGTACCAAGGGCTCCAAAAGACTGGGTCAACTGAGGAAGGCTCATGCCCTGCAAACCTGGGTGGTTAAGCAGGAGCTGGAGAAGGGCCATCTGATCTACAGGAGCAGTAGCAGCACTCGGTACTTGCTGGGGTTGCTGTGGTTGCTGTTGAGTATACTGGGAATACGATGCTTGAATTTGTGGTTGCTGTGGTTGCTGTGGCTGTTGCTGTTGAGGCTGTTGCTGCTGGCCAAGATACATGCCAGGCATTTGATTTCCATACATAGGAACATTGTTCGCAATTGGGGGAGTGGGAGTATAGGAAATAGGAACCGGAGTAGCTTGAACTTGGGGCGCGATAGGCCGTGAAGGAGCAAGCGAAGTATCTTGTGACAAACCAGACATCCCATTCATCTGGCCATTTGATACATTATACTGTGGTGTAGCGGCTACGGGGGGTGTGGGTGCTTGGGCAGGGGCGGTAGGGGGAGTAACTGTTTGGTTTTGTTTTGCCATGTTTGCAAGCGCCTGTAAGATAGAGGCCGTATTTGATGCATTTGGCTGTGCCTGGTTCTGTGGTGGTTGTTGTTGAGGTTGCGACATCGGATACTGTGGGAAAGCCTGCATCTGTCCGTTTAGGGATTGCAGATGTGGAGGCGGTGACCCAGTTGGAGTTGTAGAATCTACGTTTAATGAAAAAAGATAAATCATCAATTACTAAGGGAGTTCTTCCAAAATGGACCGGCTCAGACGAAAGAGAATACGCGTGGAAGAGGAAGGGATGTGGTAGCTTACTCTGTGAATAGGCCTGTGACATGGGGCTTGATGCAATCCTCTGTTTAATCTCCATTAAGACCTCGGGAGGAAATGTTGAGCTGCGCTCCCAAATCGCTACGAGCTTTTCTATTTTATCCTAGAAGACACAATATCTGTGTAAGTTGGATGCCTCTACATTTTTTTATACGAACGATCAGGTGTCGTGTTTCAGAGCGATAATAGGAGGGGGAGGCTTCTTAGTCGTTGTCAAAGTGAATAATATTATATATATAGCTTGACAACGAGTACCCCATTCACGGATCTCCGTTTGAACCTTCTGCGGAAGATAGCGTACCTTATTCTCTTCTGGAGGCGCATGTTGCAAAATATCATTCATTAAACTTGGGAGTAGCTGGGTGATTCTATAGACACCAGCACCATAGGTGCCATCAGGAGCTTCGGCAGAGACCGGTTGTTGGCTCTTCTTTGCAAGATCTAAGTACTTGCGAGCAACAGAATCTACAACGTAGAGGGGGCCTAGTTTATGGGTTCCTGGACACTTCTTGAAATGTGTATAAAGTTTCCCGATGATAACGGATTCGGACTAAAACATTGATATCGACAGTCAGCATCTGATGATTATTTAAATTCTCTTTTTCGCTCTACATAGCTGCCGGTGCTGCTGGTCTAAAATATTTCTAGAAATCGTTCAGTAGGAAGAAGTACCTGGACGTTTTTTGCACTGATTTCAGTTATTTGGTTGATTTTTGACCCAGACACTCCGGGTGGTTTGGTGACAAGCATGGCCTGCAAGGCATTCTCGAGCTCCACCACCACAGACATTATGATGATGATAGAGATTTTCTCGAAAACACCAAATGGAGAATATTACTCGGGCCAAATAGAGGAAGCAGCAGTCAATCCAACGATTATGGTTGGCGATGACGCGTACGATTCTAACAACTTCTCAATAGTGGTCGCGCGCGACTAATATTTGCGTTCCCTTATTGACTCTACTCACGCCTTCGCTTTCTAGATAGTCGGAGACGATGTGTTGATGTCTCGATTCTCTTTACTGGGGAGGGGCAACTTTTAAAGTGCCGCTGAATGCCTTCTACCAGTCCTTGCCACGCCGATCACCTAGATTTCAAGGCAGGAAAAGAGTACGATGTTTAACTTCTGATGGTGAGAGTGAGCCCACGAGGGGGAAGAGATAAAATTTCTCTGATTGTATATCGGGAGATTTGTAAGTAGTTGATGTTGCAGTGGCTGCGGGGATTTACGACGCGGGTGTTGGTTGGGAGATGCAGGAGAAAGGAAGTCTCGGTGAGGGGACGTTCCAAGGAATGCTGTGAAACTCAGAGTTTGTCAGGCCTTAGTATTAGTCAGCACACCGGGCCCTATTGTACGCGGTAGGAAAACGTAATTTGTGTGTCATAGCGCCTAATCACCACCATCACGATAGATACATCATAAGTCGAAGGACATGAATTTTATTTTCGCCATAATACATTTATCTCTAGACAAGTAATCATGGATGAAAAGATTCATAACCGAGCGCGTGTGTATGTACATGTATCCAGGCCTGAAAGAGTTACACGCGACACCTTGCCGTTCTGGGAGGGTTTTGTGTGCAATGGATACATATAACAAGAGGGAAAAATTTCAAAACGTGAGAGGAATATCCGACCGCATCCAACCTTCTAAATGTCCCTCTCCCTCTCTCTGTGTTCCTCTCTCAATGGATGAAAGAGTGCGCTGCAGTTGCATCATAAATTATCACTCGTATGTATCACTTGTTTCGCTGACGTGCACTGTAGCCGCCCTGAAACAACAATTATCAGGCTAATATGACTGCAAGTGGAGGAACAGGGGATCGGTCAGTTTTTCCATCGGGGCTCCGGTAATATTTAACGAGAAACACCTTCATCGTAAAACGTCCAAGAACTCAAACACCAAGGACTCTAGATTTATTTCCCAGACAAGCACAATATCCCCATGCAAACTTTATTAACTAAAACAGCTGTCATTGAGTGTAGACTCCCAGGCAATCTGGCGATTCACTTAAGTCGCAAATGCCTGCAAGCCATTGGGGTCTGGTCCAAGCCACGTAACTTCACCTTTGTGTATTCCTATTGGTTGTCTTTGCTCGCGAATTCCCGTGACTGGTGTCGCGTTCGCGTAAAAAAACCAATGCGCATGAGGTTCCAAACTCACTTCGGCCTGTCTAAGGCCGCACAGAATGTGACATCCGCTGGAACTCATTTTCATTGACAAATCTCAGCATTGATAAAGATCTTGATAGACAATCGAGTCTGAGTACCTACTCTTACATGTGAACCGCAATGCACGGTTGACAACTCTAAAGTCTGAAGTTTGTTGGGATCGGGGAGCCAAGCAAAACAATGAGCAATTCGTCCGAGAAACCTGGGGATCACCACCTCAGAAATCATTGCGCAAAGGCCCAGGAAGCGGACTTGTGACCATCTATCACGATTTCCCCGGCCCTGGGTAAAACCTTAAGGGGTCTACGGAGGTATGAGATGTTTCTCGGTTCATGAAGGGGGAACGGAACCTCTTACACAGATACCCTTTTCAAAAGCTAGGTACTCCAGACCCACTTGTTTACTGCCAAGGGGAAATCAGTGCCAAGGGCAATATAGATAATCGACAGCCGCATTAAGAGGATGAATCTTGTTTCTCCAGACCCAAAGGTTCGCGTATTACAGGCAGTTTTAAGACATTCGAATGGATCATGCTGGAGTTGCGATTTTCAGGGCTGTGAAACGGCAGAGTCTTTTCTTCCCTTTGGTCTTCGCCTACAGAGCCGATGTCCTTGCCAGATTAAAGTGCAATCATCCTATATTAAGTAATACCGGCTATAAAATATTCTCCTACGGAATCCGGTCCCGAGAGGGCATGATCTGCTTTCCTTACCGGTACCTGTGATATATGATAGAGAACCGACGTTACAGGACAATTTTGGTGTTTATAAAGATTTTCTCCATTTATTTACTGGCAATCGGAGCCGGCCCGGTCATTGGAGAATTGCCGTTTCTGTAACAGCTCTACCAAGGTTGTTATTCTTCGCTTAAGGTCGGCGGACTCACCTATATCCTTCCCAGAGAGACATTCATTACCAGTTCAGCGGGTAGAACCGTCATTTCAGTCAATCAAGATGAGGTTGAGGTTACGGCCCCTCAGATTTGGTTGTCACCTACGCGCGTGTACCACCACTAACTTATTCCCTCTCGTCCTTTCCTTGCTTGACAGGTCGTACAATGTACTTACACAGGTACAGCTGAAGAAGAGCAATGACGAGTGATGAGGAATAGTGTTCGTGGCTGTAAATCGTGGGATCATTGTAACCTGAGACGATGCCCCCCGCCCGTTACCTGGCAATTACTTTGACCGGAAGATCTGTAACACAACTACAACCACGAACATCTTTAGACTTTTAATAGGGTATCGAAGTAGTGGAGGCTTGCAGTGGTCCCACTCCTGCGGCCAAGCGGCGAACTCAATACTCCCGGGTTTAACCTTTTCTTATGGGGATAATCAAGGGAATGAATATTACACCGCTGCCATTCGGCCATATCAGCGGCATTTATCCGATGTCGGCTCTCAGGCCGTAGGACTACGTCTACTCAGGAACATCAGTATCTTAATTCTGATTCCTTGTGAGTCTCATATCTATGGATACTGTTGATACAGTAGGTATAGATAGTCAATCTTCGCACGGTGGCTAGATAAAAGTATGTGCTAAATGTGGTCTTTACCGTTCAAGTACTAGCACATAGGGTAATTGAAGCGACCCTCCCTTTATCCAATTCCGAGACCATTTAAAAGTTGCATGAGAGCCGATGGATATTTGGAGTGCGATAATGGGCTTAGATGACTAAGCTACTATCACTTGGGACTTAATAAATTTCCTAGTATCCAGAGTAAGTGGCGGTGTGGCTTGTGCCATTATTTTTTTCCTGTTTTTCTGACTACTACTGACACGGTCGTACATGCTCTCTGCGAGCGTAACGACCGAACTCCATTGGTGGTACTAATCAAGGCAAATGAACCCCCAAATTCCGAGGCAGACTTGCATCATTCGTTACAGCTAATCAGAACGGTCATCATTACCCCCATGCCCTTCGGTTCGTTCACTTTTAGTTTACTTATCAGCCGTTACCTTTTTTTTTTCTTCGCTAAAGTCGTCAACCATTTGACGTGGATTGCCCTTTCTGGCGCAGAAGTTTCGGGTACGATTGCTGACCCAATGACGTAGGACCGGGATTCGGATAACTGCAGAAAGAAATTTTTATCTACATGCTTTCTTTCTCGTAAGTCTTCCAGGTCTTGATATCTAGTTGGTTGGTATAATTGGTCTGTGTTTACGTGGGGTCCGATTAAGTGCGCGGGGCGAAAAACTTTACACCATCTTGACCACTGAAGTCTGCTGTCTTGTCGACGTTACGAAATAGAATTTCTCTCATATGAGTAAGTATTTGGAAGGTGATATGATATGAAAATCGGTTTGAGCAGCTGATACATGTGCGTAAGTATTAGGCGTCACAACCTACGTATTTTAGGTTGTTCTATTGATGTTGACTTAGGATACACCGTTCCCTATGACACTACTTCATTTTGAACGTTTCGGGCGGATAGCCTACTCGCGAATGATCCAGACGTTGCGTATGGCTCTCCTGCGGTCTCTAAAACCGAGTGATGAATCATGACTATAAAATCAGAATATTCCACCAGGCTTTCAGGTGAAAGCTGCAATTATATGATTGGTAGTAATGAGCGTTTCAGGCTATGCCGGGATGTGGGGGTAAGAGGAATGCTGTCGTCATTAATTGTGAAAAGAGCACGTATATATCAGGGATTAATTGGTTGATATTAGGTATTTTCTTCAGAAACATACCCAGTAAGTTGCTCTATCTCTCATTGACCCTTGATCCACTGCATAACACATGCGATACAGTCTGGGCATTATCCAGCTTCTGCGGCAACGTTGTAAATTTATTAATATTTGCTTTTCCCTCCACAGGCATGGCAGGCCTCTATGGAATTGGTCCGGCCCAGATGCATTGCAGTGCCTACACAAAGAGATCGTCCGCAGGGGTTTAGTCCCTACATCTCTGCAGGCTTCCCGATCTTGGCAGGGCGGTGCGGCGGTGCCAATCTTGAGATATCACTCGTATATGGCGCCTGTTTTGTGCCATCATCTTGGCAGCCGGAGCAATACGAGTTATGGGAATATTTCCAAGGGGAAACCCCCGATAAATCTAGGACAATACCCGGTGCAACACAGCGCAGATCTATGTACTCAGATGGCCGCCTGCCAATGATCTGAGATGTCGTGCGCGCGCGGGTGCAGCGTCTCAAGTTTGCGGAGGACACTCCGCCGGAGACCAGATAGGTATGTGGAGTACATGTAGGCAAGTATGTCTTCTGGCTACTGGATAAACCTTTACCCAGGAGGCTTAAGCACATCTGAAACCCTTGGAGGAGGTTCTGAAAGTCGAATTAAGGTTGCTATATACGCGGTCTACATAAGAATTAGAGTGTTACGCACGCGCCAAGAGATAATCCAACCAACCAGACCAGCAACAGGGGTTGAATTGTGAACCTCGATCCCCTTCTGCTGGTATGGCTCCGCTCCTAGTTAACTAGAAGATGTATGGACCTGGTGGTTTGGGGTACATGTAAGGGGTCCACGACTCCACGTTCTGGGAGGGCCCGGAATGATCATCAACGTTAACGGCCAAAATTCCGGATTGAAGATGCATGGCCCGGCTGGGCGCTCAAGGCTGAACGAATATCAAACCTGTATCAGGTATGTATGTACGTATGTTGCATGGCCTTCTAGTTACTTTGAGTTGTTCTTTTTTATTTCTCCTTTTTTATCTTCGTAATTGCTAACGTACTTGAAGTCTTGGTAATGTATGTACTTGCGGTCTTGGCTTCTCGGGAGAGTTTCCGGAAGTATGCTCCATTCTTGGTTCCACGCACGTGAGTGGATGGGGAGATTCATTACTACGGACCTGTATACCCCGTTGAACATTATACTCCGGTTACCAAGACCTAATATTAATGTTCATCTACAAAGACTCGTTCTCATTGATGCCCCTGGGGTGCGCACCAAGAGTATGAAGGGATGGTCCCGGAGAAAGCTCGAAAACATATATGCATAGATACTCTACTCTACTCTATGTATGTTCGAGTCTACTGGGATCTGAGAGAGAGTTCTGACCGGTGGGCCCGTTTCGTAATTCTGTGGGGATACACACTCATACACACACACACTTGTCGGGACGAGCAAAAAGAAACAATAACCTTAATTGTGGCGGTCTACGTCGTACTGCAAGGCTCACTCCTACCTGGTGTCCTGTACTCTATTCTCTTCCCCCCTGGTCCCTGCTAGGAAACAGGCCCTGAAGAATCTGGAAACACAACGTACAGGCACACTAGGATTCATGATATGTGGATCTGTGGTGCGCATAGCTACGTGCTATCTATCTATCAATCTATCTATACATATCTCTACAGGAAGAATGCTTGTTTATTTCTTCTTGGCCAACATAGATACACGTATGTACTCTACGTATACTCGGTCAAATGGACCGTTACAGAGTCCATCCATTCTCTAGCCAGGCCAGCGCAACAGTAACAACAGCGCCAGCAGAAACTACAGGGTAAGCGTAAACCTGACTGCGTCGGCTGGAATTTTATCTATCTTATCCCGCTGGGACCCATGTCGGTTCTGCGGGAACATCGAGTGATTCACAATGATTTGGAAGAACAAACAGATGGCGTTTCAAATCTCCAAGCGGTAGTGGGGAGGAGAAATTTGACAGGGTATCGGACCCTTTTTCTGTTGGTTCTGTTTGGACCCGGATCTGGGATAGATAGGTAGATAGACGGGATGGAATGGAATGGAGTATGTAACGTTACAAGGCAAAATCAGGTTGGATTTCTAACTATAGAGCTCTAACCACTTGTTTCTGTCTGGTCTCAGAAGGGAGTTGAGAAAGAGAGAGAAGGAGCAGGAGTGGAGTGGAGTGTGGGGATGGGGATGGAATATCAGGCAGACCTGATACCCGCCTGTGTCTTGGATCGCAGCTACAGAGACTGAGGGACACCAGATATCGGGCCAGACCCGACGAGGAAGGCTGAAAGTGGTGCGGGATGCATGCTCAGACAGAGACACACATGTACTTGTTGTACAAAGAGAGAGATGGTGGATCGGGTTCTTACTGCTGCTTGACGGCCGGGTACTACCATGGATATACGTAGTCTGCCTAGGGGAATTATAACGCACTCTTAATTGAGGCGGTCGGGCGGATACAGATACATTCTACATCGTAGGGAGTATGGTAGCTATACGTACTGTCATAGCCTCAGGCTGGATACAATAAAGGAATTATCAATGAATGGTAGCCGTATACGTACGAACCATAGACCTAACCCTCCGGGTCCTGTGCTTGTCTGGAAAGTATAGGCTAGGTCTTGGTGCTATGTAGGTAACTGGTGCTGTCGGAGGTAGACTTGATACTCCGGCATAACTAGGACCATTATAGGCCAACGTACTGCGTGTATGGGGAGTAATAAATAACCGGTACGATCGACGGCGCGGCGGATTTTGATAGTCCGGCGTAGGCCGGCATGCCGTACGTATAGAGAAGAATAAAAGCTGGCCTTGTTTGATGAATTGGAGGCGCCGGGCACGACGCCCGGGACCGGGTGTCAATGATAGATGGAACAGCCGGCTGGTAGATGGTCTAAGATGGCTAGCTGTCGGGTCGTCGGGTGACCGGTGGGCTGGTGATGACCGGAATTGGCGGGTTGTTCGGCTACTAAGGCTATTGACAGTGCCGGCTCGAGATTTGGACTTATTCGGAGTGGGTTTTATCATTTGATGGGCCCGGGTCAGCTTGATCCAGGCCGGCTTAAGCTGAAGCTATGCACTTATATTTAGGCATAATATGGTTAATGAGTTATATCGTGGGTTTTGCTTGACCGGAGTCAGTGAAAAATGGCGAGTTTCAATTACTGTTGTCAGTGAACCGTAACGGATTTTACAGGCTTTTCCAGGTCAATTACCGCCAGGGTGGTTTGGTTTCTATACCTTGTTCTCGGACTTGTGAGATGAGGGTTTGATAATGAGTTGAGCCAATTCATCATTATTCATAATTTCTATAAATAATAATTTACTGAGTTGAGTAAGTCAGATCAGCCAACTACGACCCAGGGGATATATGGTGATTAATGTTGGAGAGAAAAGATTCGAGCTAGGAGAGATCTCTCGTACGTGAAAGTACCCGGCTCAGTTGACTGATATTTTCATTGATATTGCTTGTATTTACTCGCGATCCCTCGATCACTGATAATCTCATTTCTAACACTTTTTTAGAAGAATATTTCGTGTTTTTGGGCGTTGGACACCGGATCGAACCATTTGGTGAGCCTATATTAAAGACTCGAGCTCTAGATCTACGAGATGGCTCATGGAACACACTAACTGTTGATATATGATCATTTGCATAAGCTCTACTACTGCTACTGAATGTAGTATTCCGATAATTGATATCCATAATTTCTAAGATTCCCGCTGACTCCCATAAAAAAAACAAAAAACAAAAAAACGAAAAAAGTAAACACAAAATACTAGACTTTAGAAGAAAAGCAAAGCAAATAAAAGAAAGAAAAAAATCATTAGTTTTTGCAAAAAAAAAAAAAATAAAAAAAAAAATAGTCATCTCGCACACTTAATCACGAACCATCACTCGGCCCACTTTTCCTCACTACTCGGCGACAAAATCCTCAATGTCAAACTTGACGCTCCTGGCGACGCCCCTGATGTAGTCCCAGCCAACATTGACGCGCCACTTTGTCGACGCCTCTAGCGCGTCTGTTACGGACGCTTTGGTAAGTAGGCGGAGGGAGGTTAGTGTTGCGATCTGGTGTTGGATGGTTAGTGTTTGCCTTTTTTTCTTCTGGGCAATGAGAGGAAGAGGAGGAGGGGGGTACTAACCTGTGTCTGTAGATCCACGGACGAATTGATAGGATGTGGCAGGATGGCGTAGAAGATGGCCAACATGCGTTCTAGCGGCCATGCTTGTGGGCCGAGGAGTCTACGGTGAATCTGCGTTTTGTGTTAGTTTCTGTGTATGTGTATGCTGGGAGGGACTGGAGGGGGGGGGGGGGGGGCGTAGATACCTTTCTAGTCTTTGCGGGCCGGCCTTTACCGCCCCCGCCGCCGCCACGACGCTTCTTCTTGAAGTCGCCGGTCTTGGTGAAGAAGTTTACGTCCTGCCGTGAAGGGTTGTAGGATGCGAGGTATGCAGCACAGAGGAGGTATTTGGAGTAGTATGGGAGGTCATGCACATCTAATATCACAGCACCCATCAGCCCACCATCCCGCCCAATACCCACCCAGCAAAGAAGGAGGGGAATGCAAACTCACTCTTCCCCGCCACCACCGCCGCCCTCGTCGCCTCCGCCGCCGGCACCGGCACCACCGAAGTCACAATACTCGACTCGCGCCGAAACATCTCCTTCTGCAGCAGATACAGCTGCGAGAAGTTCCTCGTCCCATACTGGCCGCGCGCGATGGGCTGCACAAACTGGTCCCACATGGACTCCACGGCGTCGCGGAATTGCACAATGTCGCGCGCGGCGCCTTTCGCCAGCGAGTCCCAGACGGTGCCGCAGAACTTCTCCCACACGTAGAGCTCCTCGGCGGCGGTCTCGGGGGTGTATTCGTCTTCTTCTTCATCTTCGGTTTCTGTTTCGGCTGAGGCTGAGGCTTCGCCGCTGGTGGTGGTGGTGCCGGTGAGGGCGGTGGTGGTGGAGGAGAGCTTGGTGGTGGGGAGCTTGGTGATGCGCCGGACGTACTTGGAGAGGACTTTGATGCTCTCGTCTTTTGTGTAGGGCGTGAAGTGGATATGCGGGACCTCTGCGGAGCTTAGGAGGCGTGCTTTGGAGACGGAGACGATGAAGATGACGGTCAGGTTCGGGATCTGGACACTGCTGTTAGCCAACCTCACGTCTCATCCAAACCCGCGATAAATGAAGTCCACTCACCATCTCCCCCAACCTCCCCAACCCAGCCAGCAACGTCGGCGTCAATTCCCTCTGCTGATCAATCCTATCCAGAACCTATACACACACACACACACACCCATCAGCACTTCTCCTCTCACCTCTCCTCCCTCACCACCAATTGCAGCAGCCTCCATACCAGAAAATACTTCCCCCCACCACCACCACCACCACCACCACCGCCCAACATCGCCGCCAACATAACCGCCAGCGCGCCCACCCCATCACACCTCCCGGCCTCCTCCCCGCCCCCCACCGCCGCCGCAACACGCTGCGTCAGGTGCCGCGCCGTAACACACTCGTTGCACGGCACCCATGCGAAGCGGCACTCCGCGGCCTCCAGGAACGCCCGCACGATCAGCGACTTGCCGGTCGCCTCGAGGCCGTGGACGATTATTGACGGTGGGCTCGGGTCGTCTTCCTATTTTTTTTTTCGCTCCCTCTTGGTCAGCGGGGGTGGGGGGGGGGAATGAATGAAGGGCACGCGGGAGGTACTGGGAGGTGGACAAACATCACCGATGAGTGCGGACAGTCGTTGTAGCTGTGGCACGCGGCAGGGGTACTGCGCATTGATGCTGGAGAGGAGGGCGTCGGGGACGGTCTCGTCGGGGAGCATCTTGGGGATTGAAGAGTGCGGTTTGGCTTTGGTGGTTAGTGGTTGGTACTGACTGGTCGGTGGTGGATGGGAGCTTGTGCTGGAATTTGGCGACGCGGCGAAGAGCCGCATAACTGAGCTAGCCACGAGACTACGGGGAATGACTAAGCGGAAGAGACCCGCTATCGCTAGGGTCACGTGCTTTCGCGATACTCTGGTAGAGAGTGTGGGGCTGCACGGTTGGACTGGCCTGTTTTCAAACAGTAACTCAGATTAGGGTTGACAATCATTGATCAGAAGTGGGCTTTGGGGTCGTCAATATGAAGCTTTAAACAGATTATTATTCAAATCCGGAACCAAGAAAAAAAAAAAGGTTTACCGCCACCAGCTTGCTTGCTTGACGGAGATTCAACTCTTCAACTCTCCAAGTACCTAGACCACACTAGGTACGAGGTAGGAATGGAAAAAGTTTTGATTGCGCCCGGGCTCGAACCGGGGACCACTTGCGAAACACTGAATGTGAGGCAAGTGTGATAACCAACTACACCACGCAACCTTGAAACTGCGGGCTAAAAAGGAATCTATAAGCCAATTACAGCCTAGCTCGAACGAGCGGGGTGGAGCGAGCAGAGTAACCCGGCTTTTAGCGTGAGAGAAATGAGAGCCGTTATTGGATTTTGCTAGCTGTGAAAGACTGTTCGAGCTTTAATTTGATTAGAGGAGCTTGCTCTCTCTGTTATTGGATTCTTTCTTGTTTAGTTTTTTTTTAGTTGGGTGCGTAGTGGAACTTAAGGCGGTCTCTTCAACAAAACGAACCTTTTTATCATTGGCCCTGCACCGGGTACATACATGTAGTTGGGGAACGTCGACTTTCCACGAAAAGACACTGGAACTGGACCCTTCCCATGAAAAAAAAACCAGGCCTCTATTCAGAGCTGGTAAGAATGTTTAGTCGATATAGTTTTTAATCGCGGCGCTCTCACTCATTGTATAACCCCAAACCATTACATGTAGCCTCCCGTCCCAGGAAACTCGACATGGCTGCTGAATTAATCCCAGTTGTAAAGTACCAAGAAAGTCACTTTTACTGTTTATTGTTTATTGTTTAATGATCATACAAGTAAAAATAAAAAATAAAAAAAAAAGAACAAATTCCCTAAATTGCAAAATTGCATCCCTCCGGTAACTCCAGTGACGTAGAAAAAAGGCAGTTGAAAAAAAAAAAAAAAAAAGAAAAGCTGAAAAAAATGGGCAATCCACCCGCTCTATGGCCTACGGATGATGATGATGATGGTGATGATGATGATGCTGCGCCATGGAAGCTAGCGCAAAGATAGTACCGGGGTTAGCAGTATAGGTATAGTATGGATACAGATATCAATCGTAAGAGTACAGTATTAAAACAAAGCCACAGCTTTAAAAAAAACCAGCGCAAGAAAGAAAGCAAGAAAGCAGCAGATATCATTTCATCCTCAAATACGCCTTCACCACCCCCTTCCCCACGCCCCTGCCATCCCCCTCCAACGCGCCAATCCAATCGCGAATCTGCACGCCGCCGCCCCGCTCCCCATCATCCCTCCACGCACCAATCCTCTGCCCCCCCGTCCAATACTCCAGCCCCCCCACCGCGCCCGGCGTCGTCGGCGTCGCCACGCCCACCCCCACCGGCGCCATCGCCGCCTGCCCACCACCGCCGATCCCGCCCCCCGCAGCCGACATCCACGAATACGTCTTCTTCTTCCGCTTCCCGCCAAACCCGCCAATGCCCATCATCATGTTCGCCGTCGCGTTGGCCGCCTTGTGCGACATGACCTCCTCCTTCTTGCTCGCAATGTGCTTCCGCGACTCCTTCAGCGACATTGTCGGCGTCGACGGCGGCTCCACCTGCGACGACGACGACCCCGCCCCCCCCGCGCCCCCCGCCGCCGACGGTGTCGTCGGCTCCACGGTCGGCGTGCTCGCGGCCGTGGCCGGCGTCTCGCGCTTCGCCTTCTTCGCGATGCGCTCCTGCTCCTTGTGGAACTCGCGCTGCTGCAGCCCCCGCAGCGCCTTCGCCGTCTCGTTGGCGAGCGTCGTCGTCGGCGTCGTCGTCGGCGCCGCCGCCCCCTCCACCGACGCCGCAAAGCTGAATGAGCGCTTTAACGGGTTTCCCGGGGAGACAGCGCTGTCCGGGATGGCCCCCTTGATGGGGTCGAGAGCAGCGCCCTTGACGCTGTCGGCCCACTCGCCCGAGACCACGTTCTGTGCGCGGCGGCGCGCGCGGGCGAGGACGATTGCGCGCGTGACAAACTGGTTTATGCGCTCCTTCGCGGCGAGGCTGAGGAGGGCGGCGATGTCGGCCTGCTGGCCGTGGGTGACGAGGGCGCCGTTGCCGGCGTTGAGCGTGAAGAGCTGGCAGGCTGCGTCGCGCGTCTTGCGGAAGAGGCGGTTGGACAGGATCTCGGGGGTCAGGAAGGGGTCTGCGAGGTGGGCCGTGCGGATCTCGGCCTGGCGGCGGTGGGCGATGCGCGCCTCTTCGTCGGAGGAGGAGGGGCCGCCCGGGCCGTTGGAGGAGGTGGTGGTGGTGGTCGAGGCGGTCAGGCGCGCTTCTTCTTCCTTGAGGTCGATGCCGGCGGAGGTGAGGGCGTCGGCGAGGTCGGTGGGGTCGGTGGGCTTGGAGGCGGGCGGGGGCATGGAGGTGGAGGCTTGCTGCTGGGATTGCTGCTGCTGTTGTTGGGATTGTTGCTGCTGTTGCTGCTGCTGGGATTGCTGCTGCTGCTGCTGGTATTGCATCTGCATCTGTTGTTGCTGCTGCTGCTGCTGCTGCTGCTGCTGGGGTGTGGGCTGCCCGTTCTGGGGATACTGCTGCACGGAGGGGGACTGCGGGAACGACATCGTGGGTGGTGTTTGCCTCGCGGACAGACGCTTAATTGCTCGCCGTGGAGGTCGATGTGCGGACGTTCGTTGGTTGGTTGGTTGGTTGGTTGGTTGGTGGTTGATCGATGGCCGTGATTCTGTTGATGTTGTGGGACGAGAGTGAGAGAGGAATCCGTAGACACGAGGTTACCCGGATGAGTGTGTACCGGACCAGAGCTTGAGCCGCACACGCGATTAGAGAGAGAGCTGAGCTGGCTGGGATATATACCTGCTGCAATCTGCGGGTCGAAGAAGGGGGGCAACTCGGTGGGTTATCTACTGTGCAGCGGTGGCCCTGGAGGAGGCGGGCGTCCGGGCGGCGAGTACTGCTGCTCTGGAGCCCTGGAGATGGATGGCGGGTGTGCATTGATCATGATCTTTCAGTCATAGGATCATGCTCGCAATCGAGTGGTCACCAAATGAACAACCAAAAAGCAAACCGCAAACATGGAGAGCCGTCCCGTTGCCGCCGCTTTGCAGTTTCTAGATTTGGGTTGGGGGAATTGAGTGGCGGGAAGTGCTGCCGGGTCGAGAAAGGAAGCTGCTTCCTCCAGTACAGTGTCAAGTCATGCAGATGCAGTTCGTTAGAGCTACTCCAGAGACAGCTTGCCACCAATGAGTCAATTCGATTGCTTCTCTAAATACATGATAACTCCTCGCCTCCAAATAAAAACTACTCGTGGATGGCCTGTGATTCACAGGAGATTCTCTCTTATTTCTACCCTATACCGGAGACTTTATGTATGCTTAGATGATACTATGCGTTTAGAAGCTGTTTATGTCACTCTATGTCCCATATATGCTGTCAGCGATTGGCCCAGGATAAGAACTGGGCACTAAATCTTGGATACTATAGGGAGAGTACTCAATTGGTCGATGTTGAGCGGTGTGCTAAGTGCCTTCACTGAGGTATGGTGCAACAAAAGTGAAGACGGAATATATGGAGAATATCAAACAAGGAAAGAAATATAGATACGATTCTCTCTATCAAATAAAGTCTTCTGCTGTCTTCTTAACTTTCGTAGTTTCACCGATTCCTTCTCCCCCAATCAAGGAAAGTACACCCCCCCTCTCCCCCCCCCCCCCGCGGGGCGGTCAGGCCTAACTAATGAAACCAAATAGATGATACAGTTTAGACCAGATTTCTCGGTCAAGTCTATATCATGCCGACGGTATGAGGCGTCTCAAACGGATAAGTAGTGCCGAGCTCCCGTTGAATAATGGGAGTATACTCTAGAAGTAGCGGCCCAAAGGTTTAGCCCAGTTAGGCCCTATTGAAAGTATCTCGGATGTGGCCCAGGGAGGTCTCAACCTAGGCACTCTAGCTGGTACGATGGTAACATGGTTATTACATTGAGTTTTCGTCAAACTAGATCGATAGCTCATGAGTATATATATATGATGCTTCCCGGGTGGAATTAACCAATTTATAAATATTGAGATCACCAAGGGACAGCCACAACTCTATCTACTCCGCCCTCATGACAATGACCACCGAGCAGACAAGCTTAACGTAGATTAAAGTACTCATGGCAGATACGGATTTTAGCAGCTAATAGGACTACATGTACATAAAACCATAAAGTAGGACAATGCAGTGAGTGATGCACACCGAGTGATAACATATGACGAAAATTTATCATTGACTCTGCTCTATTAGTCAGCGTAACAAACAGGCCCTTGAACTGCCCACCAGAATGATTCGTTATTAGAGACTGCTAGGTATTCATATATCCAGCTTTATTGACCGAGTTTGGGACTATAAAGCAGACCGTTTCCCTTGACCGAAGGCCCCGGAGCGGTAAGAGTTAATCATGAAATATCACTCGGTATACGCCATGGGAGAAAAAACACCACATACAGACGTTTCGAAAGAGCAATAATGTGTTCAAAGGTCGAAGAACATCAAGATCTGTAGCTTCTAGCCAAAGAGCTATGTGCTATGACACGAATTTCTCGCCACGGAGCAAGAGCTGCAGCTATGTGCCGTAGCGCTAACTCGCGCGTCAACTAGGTCCTGAGAGGTTTTGGAAGGTCGTTACTACCAAGAGCTCTCAGGACTTGATTAATGTGCGAGTATAGCTGTGGTGTAATCTCTTAGTATTAGGCTTGCCTAGATATAAGACCCAGCGGGGTCGTCATGGCCCATTGGTAGGGGATGCACTGGCTGGCGGGCCTCATTGACTATGCTGGAACACGATAGCTTCGTGATCTTTGAAATATAGATTATCCTCGCTGCGGGATGGTGGCGTAGAAGCGGAGAAAAGATCCTAAGTGTGGATTATTCGCCCAAGTGCAGCGTTTTCTGTCAGAGAAACCAAAGGTGCTGGCCTTAGATGTCGGTTGGGGTATTCCACACCTGAGGCTAACGCCTCTATAAGGTGAGACCCTGCACTGGTTGCTTAGAGGGGATGGTACGCCGCTATAGCCTACGGGCTGCATGCGAGTATGAAGTAATCAATCGATCAGTCAATGTCAGAGAAACCATATAATACTCAGTCAGTAAGGTTCTTCGTTAGCTATAGTTTGCTATGAGATTTCGTTCAGACTGAGGTAGGCGAGGCCCTAGGAACCCTAGGCTCGGTGGTTATGCAAGGGGTCTTTACCTGAGGCTCACAGTTACTGGTAGTAACTTACTATGGTTTCCTCTTACTATGGTTTCCTGAGATACCTGTTCGTTGTCTCCCAAGATTGTTAACTTGGCAGATGAGCCATATCCGCCGAGGATCACACCTACTGGTAGTAATTAAACATGGGTTCCTGAGATATCTGTTCGTTGTCTCTCTAGATTATCCAAGTTAGTAGATGAATCATGTTCACCGAGATTTGATGTAAGCCTGGCAAGATCCATTGTTTGTTGAACGGGTGAGTTTGATATGACTTGAAACGGTAAACCAGCAGTCATCTAGTAAATGAGTGGATTGCCCCGGGCAATTACATCCCACCAAGGCACATGTACTCATACATCTAACTAACACAGCCACAGGTTTGATCTACTATATGTCAGCTCATAACGAACCAGTATACGGTTTCATGCGCAGTCAGTCTATCCACTACACGTGAAACCAGTGTTTGCGTAGCAAAGTGACATGAGAACGGGACTGAAGGGAAACCAGCTAGCTGAGTTGCCTAATTCCACGACCTGAAGCACCTGGGGCTCGGTCTCTCAGAGATAGTAAGGGCTTGGGGTTACGGTATAGGCTCGTACCCATCGCATTCTTTGTTATGAGAAATATGCATTCACAGACAGACGTAAGTCAAGACTGCACACGCATTTCCATATAGTTTCACCACGTAAACACGTGACCGTGTCGATCAAGCGTGAAATAATATAAAACCCGTAGAGTCTGATTTTGGAGTGTCGTCAGAAATGTCTTTTGGTTCTCTTTATTGGAAAAGTCACTGGGGTTTAAACAAAAAAACTGTATTCAAAGTTCAGATGGAATTTACATTACTGCGCGTGCAAAGAGCAATGTCCGGTGACGTCGTGTGCATGGAAACAGATGCTGAATTGGATTGTAATCGTGAAATGGCATCCTGAAATGTCAACCATCCACATCGGCCATTTAGTTTTCTTGTAGGGCAAGCCCGTGCCTAACCCACCATGGGCAAAGGCAATTCGTAGTTTGGAGTAAAGAAAATCAGTCTCGCGATGATGCCATAGAGTAGAGTACATCATAATACATGCATGTAGGTGGTAGGCTCTGATAGCCGTGGATCAGAGCGGGTTTGGGCATCGATGACTCGTGTCACCCCAGCTAGCCCTTACATGGGGTCACCGCATACATACACTTATGAAGATATTCCGCTGTCTATCTGCTGCAGTCAACGAATTCGAGATCCACTCAGACTTCCATCGAGTGTAGCCGTAGCCGTTTGACGCGTTGAAGATGATGTTTATCCATCCTAGAGCCGCCAGTCCGTCTGTTGGATGATTTGAATTGGTGCCATAACCTCGATCAAAACCCCGCTTCTACCATGTAGGTATGTATGTACCTCCTACTCGGCGGCCGCAAATAGCATGTAACCTGAAGGCTAAATAACGGGCATCAGCGACAGCACTGGCAGCACTGGCAGCAGCAGCAGCAGCAGCAGCACACGTCCTGTCTACACGTAGGGAAACAGATTTCGTGAGACGAGTGGTGCTTGCGCGGACAGTAATGGTCATTGCTAATGTGTGTGCTGCATAAGATAGACCCCATCCCATAGTTCAGGGTTCATCAATGGATCCGCGCAGCAACCATTTAAGTAAGTGATCATCACGGGAGATCGTGTGCGTGCGTGTGTGGTGCGCTTAAAGGTCCGAGCAATGTCAAAATTATGTGTCTCCAAGCTCTGTCGGGAATCGTGTAAATCATCGTGCCGGCCTGCTTCCCTCGTCATCCCGATTCCCCGGTATATCGCGGACCGATGCGGGGAGGCTCTTGCTGTTATCTGACCTCCCCCCGACTGAATCTTAATCTTGGACAGTGGTCCAACGATTTTAGCGAAATGTCATGTAGGGGACGCTAGACTGAGAGCGAGAGATTGAGAAAGAAAGAAAAGAAAGAAAGAAAAGAATTCGTGAGCCTATGAGCTTTTACATATGCCTAACCACGAAGATCTCATTGACTGTTTTTACTCCACCTACTTCTCTCTACGGTTGTAACTTGTTGTCGTTGTTGTCTTCCAGTGGAACACCGAATAAGGGCCCCCGATTTGATAGATCGGGAATCGATTGATCTAGGAAATGCTGGCCCTATCAGAGTGGCTTACTAGTCGCTCTGTCATTCAAGGTTAGAGAGGCGGGATAAAATAAGCTTCCGGCATGGTTTTCGAAGAAAAAAAAAACCTTCGCTTAAATTCGTGTGTGTGTGCTTGTACGCTATATAGACGCTGCGAGTGATTCTAGTCATTTTGATCAGAGCGAAGCGAAATGTGTAGACACATATCGTGTATTGAGCTGAGGTAACTGTAAACTGTATGGAGAGTGCAAAAAA